ATTATATTTCAGGCATGTTGGGTTAAATAAAGTGTATTATTAAAATTAATTTCACGGCTGGGTGCGGTGGCTCACTCCTGTAATCCCAGCATTTTGGGAAGCTGAGGTGGGTGGATCACCTGAGATCAGGAGTTTGAGACCAGCCTGACCAATATGGTGAAACCCCATCTCTACTAAAAATACAGAAATTAGCCGGATATGGTGGCATGCACCTGTAATCTCAGCTACTCAGGAGACTGAAGCAGGAGAATTGCTTGAACCTGGGAGGCGGAGGTTGCAGAGAGCCAAGATTGTGCCATTGCACTCCAGCCTCGGTGACAGAGTGAGACTCCGTCCCAAAAAAAAAAAAAAAACTAAACTAATTTCACTCTTTTAAAAAATGTGGCTACTAAAAAATTAAAATTAAATATATGGGTTACTTTTTTTTTTTTTTTTGAGATGGAGTTTCACTCATGTTACCCAGGCTGGAGTGCAATGGCGCGATCTCGGCTCACCGCAACCTCCGCCTCCTGGGTTCAGGCAATTCTCCTGTCTCAGCCTCCTGAGTAGCTGGGATTACAGGCACGCACCACCATGCCCAGCTAATTTTTTGTATTTTTAGTAGAGACGGGGTTTCACCATGTTGACCAGGATGGTCTCGATCTCTTGACCTCGTGATCCACCCGCCTCGGCCTCCCAAAGTGCTGGGATTACAGGCTTGAGCCACCGCGCCCGGCCGGGTTACATTATATTTCTATTGGACAATACTGGACTGCAAGTAAGCAGGCAGCTGTGCTAAGTTGGGGAATTTGGACTGCCACTGGGTGACAGTGGGGCTCCAGTGTGTCAGCGAGGGTCATGATGTGCTTTGCTCAGAAACTCACTCTGCTGGAGGGGTGGTGAACGTACCAGAAGAGGAACAGATTAGAAGTCGGGAGTCTGTGCAGGACTGTAGACAGGAGAGTGCAGAGACAAGACGAAATGTAAGAATTGTCAGCAACAAGGTCTGACAGCTTATTGGGTGTGGGCTGTGAGGAAGAGGGAGGAATTTGGGTAGACTTCTGGGTTTCCAGGATAGACAAATGGAGTGGATTGGGGTGCAATACTGTATTCAGTGAAAGGCTAAAGTGAAGTGTGCCCTACCTGAGAGAAGCTGGGTGAAAGCAGGGCTCAGACCAGGGATTCAGTGAATATTGGTTGAATGAATGTTTAAAAAAATAACAGACTAATGTGTGGTTCAGAAAATGTGTTATGGATGGTTGAGAAGAGGAATTGCTGTATCCGTGGGAAATAGCAAATGGAGGTCAGGAGGACAAGCCTGCCAGGGGTACCACAGTTTGCCACCTGAAGTTCCTGTAAACAATTGCAAAGGATCCCATTGCCCATCCTCAGCAAGAGGCATGAAGACATCCTGCCCTATTACTTCAGCCTCTCGGTAATTGTTGTAAGGACAAGGTGGGGGTGACTAGGCTGAAGAAAGAGTAGGGAGGTTGTGATGTGAGAGGCAAATGCGTTTGTGAAAAGGGCATGTTTACAAAGCACCTACTTACCAGTGCTGTTACTCATAAATCACATCAGCCACATCCAAATGTGGACAAACATTCATGTTCATTTGCCTGAAACGTCAATAATTTGAAAATAGAGCCACTAGGGAATATAGATTTGAATGCATTTCCTTATTTATGCTTGGAAAAATAAATGGGATTTAGTAAAACCAAATCAAAAGCACCTCCACCCACCAAAAAAAAAAAAAAAAAAAAGCTCTGAATGGAGGTAGATCAGGGTTGTAAACAAAAAGAAAAAAAAAGAGAGAAAAAAGAAGACAGTTCTGTCATCATCTTTGTGAGTATGCGTAAGTGATGGAAACATTCGGCATCTCAGTTTTCTCATCTGTCAAAATAGCTACAATAATATGAGTGTTGTCTATTTCACAGAGTTGGTCATATTGAATAATAAAATGGAAGTGAAAGGCTTCAGAAAGCTAGAAGTGCATACTGAAATTAGCAATGAACAATGAATCCTTAGAAAGGTATTTTGGCTTTAATAAATCTGAATGGCCGAGAAACCATTAGGGATGTGCACCATGGAGCGTGTGCAGTCACATGGGGCAAAGACCAGTCTCTCCTGCCTCTTGGTGTTCAGAACCATCCACCCCAGAGTGTAGACTGGACCCTTACAGTTCTTTGCCTCTAAAGAGAACTCTTGGCCAGGCGAGGTGGCTCACACCTGTAATCCCAGCACTTTGGGAGCCCGAGGTGGGCAGATCATGAGGTCAGCAGATCAAGACTATCCTGGCCAACACGGTGAAACCTTGTCTCTACTAAAAATACAAAAATTAGCTGGGCATGGTGATGCACACCTGTAGTCCCAGCTACTCAGGAGGCTGAGGCAGGAGAATCGGTTGAACCCAGAGCCAAGATTATGCCACTGCACTACAGCCTGGGCAACAGAGCGAGACTCCATCTTAAAAAAAAAAAATAGAACTCTTTGGGTGAGAGTTGGATGTGAGAAATAGTGAGATGGCTGGGCCAATGGGGTCATGTGTTATGAAAGAGTTGGGGGGATTTGCTAAAATGCACAGTGCGCCCTTCATATGCAGATTTTTTATGCTCTGTTTCATTCATTTTTATGTTCATTCATTCATTTAGCAATGTGTATTCAAGCATTCAGACTTCCCCTAATCGTTCAAAGTTTACTCAAATTCTACCTACTTCAGAAAGCTTCCTTGACCATCCCAGCACAGCACCTATCTGTGGCTTTTATTTCAGGAACCACCTTCTTTTTTGTCATGCATCTGTGTTATCATTGGTCTCAATTTCTTTCTGGACACAGAATCCATGTCCTAAACATCTTTGTATCCCTAAAGCCACCAGAATAGCACCATATAAGTAGTATAGCAGGTTCTCAGTAAATAAAAACCAAATGAATGAATAAGTTGGAGGGATGGGTGAATGGCCCTAGATCAAGCACTATTTTCTATATTTTCTGAGAAGGTAAAGATGATTGCTGAGGGCAGCCAAGGCTGGGTGTGCTGGCTCACACCTGTGATCCCATCCCTTTGTGGGGGTGAAGGAGGAGGTCTGCTGGTCTCACAGGAGTTCAAGTCCAGCCTGGACAACATAGAGAAACCTGGTCTATACAAAAAAAAAAAAAAAAAAATTAGCCAGTCACTCACACCTGTAATACCAGCATTTTGGAAGGCAGAGGTGGGTGAGTCACTTGAGCACAGGAGTTGGAGACCAGCTTGGACAACATGGCGAAACACCAGCTCTACAAAAAATACAAAAATTAGCAGGGTATGGTGGTACATGCCTGTAGTCCCAGCTACTTGGGAGGCTGAGGTAGGAAGATTGCTTGAGCACAGGAGGTCAAGGCTGCAATGAGTCATGATTGTGCTACTCCACTCCAGCCTGGGCAACAGAGCAAGATTCTGTCTCAAAAAATAATAAGGCTGAGCGCAGTGGCTCACACCTGTAATCCCAGCACTTTGGGAGGCTGAGGTGGGTGGATCAACTGAGGCCAGGTGTTCGAGACCAGCCTGGCTAATGTGGTGAAGCCCCATCTCTATTAAAAATACAAAATTTGCTGGATATGGTGGCACACACCTGTAAACCCAGCTGCTTGGGAGGCTGAGGCAGAAGAATCACTTGAACCTGGGGGATGGAGCCTGCAGTGAGCCAAGGTTGCACCACTGCCCTTCAGCCTGGGTGACAGCGTGATACTCTGTCTCAAAACAACAACAAAATAATAATAAAACAAAAGCACTAAAGGTCACTTGGAGTGTCTACTCATTCAGCTTACCTTTACTGAGCACCTACTGTGCTGCATGGCCAAAAAAGAAAGCATGTAGAGTCTAGATGTAGCTGGTAGACAATTAATGCAAGTGAAACGTTAAACAGTGCTTTTTTTTTTTTTTAAAGTTCAAATTGCCTTACAAGGTTGTGAGTATAAAGTGACAAGCTAATGGTTCAGATGGTAAATCCTACAGGCTTAATGCTTCTTCATCTTGGATTGTCTAGGGCTGTCCCACTTCCCAGCTGGCTGCCCCATACAGTAGTTTTCCCAAAACGCTAGCACTTACCAGAGCACACAGCTGAATTTAGTATCACAGAATGTGCTCACTGTTAAACAGTTCCAAACCTAACCTAAAGAGCCTCCTCCATCCAAAGAAAATCTCTAGACTTGTGGTGAAGTACTGTGTCACCACAGCCACTAGATGGCAGAAGACTTTGGATGCAGAGGAATGAGGGGGAAGAAAGGAGCGAGAAAGAGGGGGGGGAGGGGGAGAAGGGGGGAAGGTGGGGAGGGAGGACTCAGCAAGTGTGGGAGTGTTGTCTTTGGATGCTCTATTGTAAATCAGTGTATTACTATGAATAAGCGTCACATCTGTGTCTGTACAGCATAGATGTGTGTGTGTGTGTGTGTACCTGTGAAGGTCTCCAAGCACATAGGGAAAAAACACAAACAAAAACTGGTGTGAGAATCAGAAGACCTGGATACTACTCTGCTTCATTGACTTCCCGCGTGACCTTGGCCAAGCCTCCTAGCTTCTTTGAGTTTTAATTTCCCTTTCCATAGATGGGAATCACAGCTTTGCTTATCTCTGGGAGTGGGGCAATGATAAAACATAATGCTCTTTGTCGACTGTAAAGGGCTGTAGCCATGTGCGGTGGTGCTGTCTGTGTGGTGTGTGGTTGAGGGAGTGTTCCTGAGTGTGTACTTGCAGGGATGTGCAAACCCTTGGTAATATGGTACCCTTAATACACTGGGTCTGCTCCCTGTGGAGACCTTGGGAAATTATCCAGTACATAGAACAAAATAGTCCTGGAGGAGCTGAGGGGAGGCTGAGAAAGAAAGCAGTGTAGCTCTCCTGGTTGGAGGTGGAGGAAGAGTGGAGGTCAGGATAAAGCATCTGTGCTTTCTCCCTGATCTTTATGGGAAAGAGGCAAGGTTAGTGATGCCCTGGTGGGGTTCCTCCCCTGTCTTGGACAGGGGCCCACTGAGGGTTTCCTCTTGCTCAGCTCCCATCCTTGCTGACCCGAGGGAGCAGCTCGACCTCTCTGCACAACAGCACCATCCGCAGCACCATCTACCAGCTCATGCTCCACAGCCTGGACCCCCTGAGGGAAGGTAAGCAAGGCCTCCCCAGACACCCACATCTGTCCCATCCACTCCTTCCCTCCTGTAGCTGGAGAAGAACTGGGACCTGAAAATCTGAGAGGCAGTGAGGAGGGGGTGGGAAGAGAGAATAAGCAGAGGAAAGAGTGGGTAGTAAAAGTCAGACAGTCTGGGAAAGAGGGTAGAGACCAAGACGGGTCTCACCAAGAGAGGGCAACAAGGAACATGAAAGCAAAGGTCCTTGAGTATCCACATCCCGCTACTTCCCTGCCTCTGTCCCTCCCTATAAAACGAAGAGGTTAACCTGCAGCTGTGCTCTGCACAGGGCTGGGTTGGGGCTGCCCTGCAAGGCCCACTGCCCAGGAGTCAGCCCCAGTGTTCCACGGAGAGCGTCTAGCCAGACAGCTTGACCCAGGCTGACTGGCCTGGGCTGCTTCTGGGGACATCGCTTGTAGGGTCCCAAAGCCCAGAAGTTCTTAGTGGCACTTCCTTTTGCTTTATATTCAACTCTGGAGTCTTAAGAAACCTGTTAACTCCTCCTCCAGTCAGGAACCCTGAAGGACACCCTGGAAACTGCCAGGAGCCTTCTAGGGGTGATGAGGGTAAGAGCAGGGCCCAAAGTACAGCGGGGGGCTGTTGTCCAATTTGACAAATGGTGGCAGTGGCTGAGATTCTCACTATGCACCTTACCAAATCCTGCCTTCTGCTTCTCAAGATAGTTGCCCGATGCATCTCGGACCCCTAAAGGGCACCTCTCAGTTACTTTCCTGCTCTCCTTGAGCCCCGCTGTCTCTGGGGCTCTGGTGCAGAACCGGAGCCCAGCCAGGAGATCCATCAAGGAAAGGCTTGCCTTTGGACAAAAGCCAAGGGCTCGGACTGCAGTTGGGCAGGAGGGCTGAGGGCCAAGCTGAACATGACACCACAGAATGATCCACTGAGTCCCAGGGAGCACTCTGACTGACAGTTCTGGCTCAAGGACAGATTTTTGGGACTCAGAATTTTCTTTAGATTCTGAAGTCCTTTTCAGAGACAATATTTGGGTTGTCAGTTGTTAAAAAAAAAAAAAAAAATACGGGCTGGTTGCAGTGGCTCACACCTATAATCCTAGCACTTTGGGAGGCTGAGGTGGGGGGATTGCCTGAGCTCAGGAGTTCGAAACCAGCCTGGGCAACACTGTGAAACCTCATCTCTACTAAAATACAAAAAAATTAGCCAGGCGCACCGGTGGATCCGTATAATCCCAGCTACGCGGGAGGCTGACACAGGAGAATCGCTTGAACCTAGGAGGTGGAGGTTGCAGTGAGCCGAGATTGAGCCACTGCACTCCAGCCTAGGCAACAGAGTGAGACTCCATCTCAAAAAAATTTTAAAAATTAAAAAAAAAATACTGTGAAAAGCTACATCAGACAAGTGATGAAACCTTCCTTAGGAATTCGTCAAGGTAAGAACAGAGGGAGAGAGAAAGGGAGAAAAAAAATAATCTAAGCTGCTAATGGAGCTGTTAGGAAAAAAAGAGAGGGGGGAAAAAAAGAAGTAAAAAGAAATTCCTGAAGGTAAGCCTCAGCAGACATTGCGAGAGAGGCCTTCCACAAATGTCAGCCCCAGAAAGATGGTACCTCTGGGGTTTGCGGAATGGAAGCTGCAGCCCCTGGCAGCCTCCGGTGATGAGTGCTGGGGGGCTCTGGCCTCAGCCCTGTGAGGAAAGCTCGATCTCTGGGTCATGAGTGGCCACTCCCAGAGGAATCACTGACTAGTGAAGTCCTGACAATAAAGACCTTCTCTTGGATGGGACTAGAGGGCCCCCAGCTGGGCCACTTGCATGACCAACAGCCTCCAGCTGGCCTACTTGTCCTAACAGGATTACGTGATGTTCAGGCCAGGCTGAGGTCAGAGGAGATTGATGTTAAAGCGATGATCCAGCCACGCTGAGAGAGGAGAAGCATGTGAGGAAACAAGTGCCCAGGAACCAGCAGCAGCCATCCCAGGGAGGACGGGCATGCTGGTACATTGTCTCTGGGCGTCTTTGGGACAGGAAATGGCTCTCACAGTGCATGACTGCAGATGTCCTCTGGGATTCAATCGTGCTCAGCAGCCCAGCCTGATTCTACACCCTGAGACTATGTGCGGGAGGGGCGGGGACCGTGAAGGGCTGTGATGAGGGCCTTTATTCCCCAGACTCTAGATGCACATTTGTGTTTACGTATGCTGTTTCCAGATGGCCATCCAGATGTTTCCACTTTTTCCAGGTGTTCAGCTCTTTCCACAGAGCTGATCCGTGGAAAGGACGTTTCCTGGGGTCTAAACTCTCACCTTTCTGTGAAAGGGCTTTTCCTCTCCAGGGTCCCATGCCTCTTGCGGTGATTTCACTTGGATATGTGTGAGACAGGGTGGGGGAGACCCTGCAGCTGACCTGCTTTCCTCAGTAACATGGGAAGTGAGAGGCTAGGCTGTGAGGGATGAGAAGGAAAAGTGGAAGCTTGTTTTTTGCTAGCCCTTCCAGCCAACAGTCAGCAGGTACTCAGTGCCGAGACCAGAGCCAAGGGAGCCCTCCTGTGACAGCAGCTACAGGTTGCTCAACAGAAGGCTTCAAGGCTTGATTAGTGCCAAGGGGGCACTGGGGTTGTCTGGATGAAGGAGGCAATGGTGTGTTGGCCCCTGACCTCTCAGTTCTGATGAGGACCCAGGCCCACCAGCCCACTTCGAGGGACACATGTGTCATAGTGGCGGCTCTACCCGTGGAGCTTATTGCCAGGGCCAGCTGCAACTGAACTGTCTCTGAGAGTTTAGGAGAGAGGTGGAGAGGAGGAAATTCCAGACCCATTTATCTGTTTTCTGCCTATCCTGGAGCCGGGCAGAGGCTTTGATCCACCCAGCTTCCCAGATTGCACTTTCCAGCTTCTCTGTTTCCTCTCGGTTCATCTGTACTACGAACTAGATGATCTCCAGGGTTCCTTCTAACTCGGGCCCTCTGGAATGCTGGGCATCGTCTCTGTGGGGTTGCTTCCCAGGTAGGACAGCTGCTCTCAACTACTCCAGTCAATTTGTTTTCATCATTGTTGTTGTGTCATTACAGCTGAAAGTTATATAGTGCTTTCCAGATGTCAGATACTGTTTTGAGCATATTCATGTATAAATTCACTTGCTCTGTCACCAACTCTGGGAGATTTTATAGATGAAGAATCTGAAGTACAGAGAGCATAAGGAATCACCCAGTTAGGTCCACAGCTATAGCGCAAGTGGCAGAACTAATATTCAAACTCAGGTCAGCAGGCTCTGGAATCCATGCTAAAGTAACAATAGGAGTGAGGCCAGCATTTGCAGCAGTGAAGGTGTTTTTATTTATTTTGTCTCATGAACCCTCATCACATCAGTGCCTTGAGGATATTATGGTATTCCCTTTTTAGAGAGAGGATGCTGAGGCTTAGTGAGGGCATGCAGGCTTCCCAAAGTCACCCAGTGCTTATGGGGCAGAGCCGACCTAATTTCAGAATAGATCCCATAGATCCCATGACACCACTTTGGTTTTTGTTTTTGTTTTTGTTTTGAGACGGAGTCTTACTCTGTCATCAGGCTGGAGTGCAGTGGCACGATCTCAGCTCATTGCAACCTCCACCTCCCAGGTTTAAGTGATTCTCCTGCCCCAGCCTTCCAAGTAGCTGTGACTACAGATGCACACCACCACATCCAGCTAATTTTTGTATTTTTAGTAGAGACAGGTTTCACCATATTGGCCAGGATGGTCTCGATCTCTTGACCTCGTGATCCGCCCAGCTCAGCCTCCCAAAGTGCTGGGATTACAAGCTTGAGCCACCACGCCCAGCCCAACACCACTTTGTTCTATCACTTGTGCCACTGCCCTCACCCTCCCAGGCCACACAGCTGTGCGCTCCTTCATCTGAGCCTTGTTCCTTCTTCCCCTCTCGACATTACACATGTAAAGTACTTGCATGCTTCCTGTCACATAGTCACGGTGGAAGAAAATTGCCTGCCTTGTGTTTCTCGCCTGGAAATCAGGGCAGCACAATTCTGTGCATGCTGCTCTGTGGGCCTCTAGGAAAGCACGTGCACAGGAATCTGAAGGGGGTCCTTCTCAGGCTCTTATTGTGCCTGGGGTCAAAAAGGGTGTGGCTGAGAGCTTCTTGGTGAATAATTTCCCCTTTTCTACTGGAGATGGAAGGTTTATGAACATGGCCATCCGTCGTCCCCTTGGAGCTATAGTAGAGCTTCTTAGCTACAAAGATACTATAGTCCAAAGGTGGCAAAAAACATCTCCTTGCAATTATTTCTCCATTTCATGTTCATCACAGATATTGCCAATCAATCATGGTACTTTCCTACAAAGCCTGGGTCAGAGTCCCTCTCAATTCAGTACCCAGGCAGGCCATCACTTGAACTTGTAAAGGAAATAAATCCTATTTCTTGGCCCTGAGTCCAACCATGTCATTTTACCAGAGAGGAAATAGGCCGTGAAAAGGGAAGTGACTTACCTTTGGTCACGGCCAGTCAGTGGCAATGCAGAAAATGTTAAGACAAATCTTTGGGAATTAAGCATCACAAATAGGCCTAGTAGGATCAGAATCCAGATGTCACAACCCCCAGGGCAGCCTTTTCCCACATTCTGCAGCTGCCCTCTGGCTGCTCTGCTGACTGTCCTAACTGAAAGGGTGTGGTAGGGATGATCCTGCGATCCCAGGTAAGATGTATATCCTTTCTCATTTGCAGTTCGCCTCGCCAAGGAGAAGGAGGAGGAGAGCTTGAATCAAGAGGCCAGAGCCCAACCCCAAGCCAAAGCAGAAAGCAAACCAGAGGGTGAGAAGATGGCCACACCAGCGGGTTTTCTCCTGCCCACTCTCCCTGTTGTCAGTAGTGAGTTTGGCCTGGAGGCGGCAGCCAGCCAGGCCAGGGGCTGAGACACGTCTTTGTGAGCCAGTCAGAGTGAGGGTCAGATATTGCCCTGAATACCGCTCCGCTCTAGACTCCTCCTTCCCAGGTGCTGTCTTGCTGACATGGCTGCTGGTCTGAGAGTAGCCCCATACAGCTTTCTCTCCATTTTCCTCAGGTAGGGTAGGCAAGGGAAGGCTAGAGGATTGTTGAACTTCTACTTCTTTTTGCTAAATCTCATCCCAAATGAGACTATTGGATTTTATTTCTTCTTCTTGTCTCTTCTGTACAAGGACAGTGTTGCTAGTTACTGGGTCTGAAACCAGCAACCCCAGTGAGGGAAGGCTATCAGGGGTCTGGTGTCACAGAAGTCCCTATCTGTGTGGCAGCTAGGACTGAGAAAGTGGGACAGCCACTGCCATGTGGGCTCTGCACAGCACACTGCCTGATCCATCCAGCTACCCTAGAGAGAGGTGGAGTAGCAGTCATTCTTCCCATCCTATACACATGAGGCTCAGAGAGGTCAAGTGACTTCCCAAAGCCACACAGCCAAGAAGTGAAAGAACCCTACCTAAACCTAGCTTCCCAGACTTCCCAGGTTTCCCTTCCTGTCAATCCTGTTCCAAGGCTTCAAAAGCTACTGCCTTTGGAATCAGGCAAAGGGTCAGACTCCAAGTGCTGGGAGCTTTGCCCTTTGCCTGTTCTGGCTGCCCAGCTGTTGACAGTGTCCTTGGCCACAATGGCCAGGAGGGAAATGTCTGTGAGTTACAGGGGAGCAAGAATGGTCACTTGCCAGCTGTCTGCTCATCTGCAGATAGGTCAGGGCAATAACAATTCACATCATCTTTCTTTTCCTACCAGCAAGAAATTCCCCCAAATAAACCTTCAGAAACCCTGAAGTCAAATAGCCTTGCAGCCACTTACGCCAGTGTCTCTACCAGCTTCCCTCAGAGCCTTGTCCACTCTTCTGATGTAGTCCCTTTTATTCTTTAAAGAGGAGGAGCCAGCCAAGTTCCCTGTGGTCACGGTCACATCAGCCCCTGCTCCAGACATCAAGGGAGATCAGAAGAAGAATCCGGGTGGTCAGGTAAGCACCCATCCTTTCCACAGATGAAACTGGAGAAGTCCAGCGAAGGAGTTGCTGACCACAAATACATCCTCCCTGAAGGTCTGAAATCCTATTTGAGGTTCAGTCCTCTAGGGGTAAATATTACTCTTTCTCTGAAGATCATTTCAAAAATACCAATATCTCATGGAGCCAATTAACTCACTGGAACATCTTAGTATCAGTGAACTAATATATTGACGATGTATTGTGAACTGTCACATGCTATAAGAACATAAGGAATAATTGTTAGTGGGTCTCTGTCAGCAACTAGGCGACAGTGAGACCAGGTAGCTCAAGAGCACTGGGAAGCTTGAAATGCAGATAGGAGGGTTGCTGGGTGAAGGCCTTCGAACCTGCTGAGGCTCCTCATTGCCTACTGCACCTGGTCAGGTTTCCCAGCCTTGTCTGCAGAGCTTCCTAAGTCCTGACACTGCTCTGTCTTTACAGCTCCATGGTCTCTTCTTCCACCATGTTCCGGCCAAACTAGATTTCTTGTCTCCATGTTTTTCTACCTCCCAGCTTTGGCTCACATGGGAAGCTTGAAATGCAGGTGGGAGGGTTGCTGGGCGAAGGCCTTCAAACCTTCTGAGGCTCCTCTCCCTAGAATGCCTTTTCTCCTCCATTTTCATATATCCTCATCTTGTCACGCACTCCCAGCCTTCTCCCTGGCCTCTGGCCAGTATAAACATCTTTGTCATGTAGCTGCCTTGATCCGCTCCAAATCTAAATGCCCCTGGCACTCTGCACCTATCTCAGGACTTTTGCCAATTGCCTTTCCTGTATCCTGAGCCTACTAGGTGGTGAGGTTCCTGAAGGCAAGATCGAAGTCTGAGTTACCCCTGTCTCCCCTACAGAGGGAAACAGAATGCCTGGTACACAGTTGTGCTCAATATATGTTGAGTGACTGACAGTAAAAAACATTCCATTTGCAAGTTCCATCTCTTTTCTCCTCTCCATTCAATACCCAGAAGCACTTGATTATATTTCATCCTTAAGCCAGCAACTTTGGGTTCAGAATCTAAGCTTCATGGTAACATGAGTAGGCCTATTACCACTAGCTCAGGTAAATGGGATTAAGAGGATACAGAGGTATCCCTTGGAATCCCAGGGCACGAAGTGAAGCTTGATCTCATGAAGAGCTGGACCTAGGCCTGAGAAGGCATCTGTGACCCTGGTGGCTTCTCATTCCATGTCTCGCTGTCCCTCACATCCCTTCTCTGGGTATAGGCTCTATCACGGGCCTCTCTTGTCAGGCTGCCTTCATTTGTTTCCTTATGAGCACGTATAACCCCAAAACACTACCCCAGTCCTGCAGTCCACAGGGGAAATCAGTGACTGGTTTCCAGAATTAAAAGAGAGACAATCAGGCCGGGTGCGGTGGCTCACGCCTGTAATCCCAGCACTTTGGGAGGCGGAGGCGGACACATCACTTGAGGTCAGGAGTCCGAGACCAGCCTGGTCAACATGGCGAAACTCTGTCTCTACTAAAAATACAAAAATTAGCCAGGTGTGGTGGCACGTGCCTATAGTCCCAGCTACTTGGGAGGCTTAGGCAGGAGAATCGCTTGAACCCGGGAGGCGGAGGTTGCAGTGAGCCGAGATCGTGCCACTGCACTCCAGCCTGGGTGACAGAGTGAGACTCCATCTCAAAAAAAAAAAGAAGAGAGAGAATCAGTTTAACCCAGCTCCTTGGTCAAGGACCCAGGCTGTGTCTAACTGGCTATGGCTGGCTGACTTGACTCCAATGCGGGAAGGGGAAGCTACCTGCTCAGCTGGGGCTATTAGGAGTGATGGTCTTCAGAGAAGAGGGTGCACATGGGCCAACACTCCCACACTTATGGGTTTCAATGACTTGTCATCTCCTCTGGGAAGCATTCTCCACCTGATAGGAATCCTCATTCCCAGTTCAAACCGCAGGCCTCACCAGCTACTATTTGACTTTTTCATTGGGGAGTTCTCAACCCTGGTTGCATATTAGAATAATTTGGGGAAGTTAAAAAAAAAAAGACCAGGCCCCACTCTCAACCAGTTATTTTTTTTCTTTCTTTCTTTTTTTTTTTTTTTTTAAGGTTAGTCAAGTGAAGCAATGGGAGTGGAGAAGGAACAAAGAAATCAGTAACTGGTTGTGATCAATTAGTTGTAAACACCGCTGCACTGGGACCAGCCTCTCAACCAGTTAAATCAGAATATCTGGGTGTGTCATTGGGCATCAATGGTTTAAAAAGCCTCCAGGTGATCTTAATGTGCATCACAATTGAGAATCACTCAGCAGCCTTTGGGGTTGCCAATATTTGACATTTGTTACAGAAAACATATTTACTCCATGAACACACAGCCCAGGGCACTGCTCAAGGGATGGACCAGCATGTTGCTATACATTAGACGGGTGCCTAATCTGAGGACACTCCAAATCAATGGCTTTTAATTTTATCTCTTACGTTTTTTATGGGGTTATGGGGTCTCGCTTTATTGCCCAGGCTGGCCTGGAACTCCTGGGCTCTAGCAATTCTACTGCATCAGCTGCCTGAGTAGTTGAGACATAGGCATCTATGTCTGAGACCAGACCCCACTATCAGTGGCTTTTAGGGTATGTGGAGACAGTCAGTGGCTCCCAAACACTGGGCTAAAAGTGGATGTTTTAGGAACATCTGTGAGTTATTTTGAAATACAGACTCCTGGCTTCCAATCCTAGAGATTCTAATTTAGTTGGTCCAGGTGGGATCAGAAAATCTGTATTTCTTTTTTTTTCTTTTTTTGAGATGGAGTTTTGCTCCATCACCCAGGCTGGAGTGCAGTGGCACAATCTTGGCTCACTGTAACCTCCACCTCCCAGGTTCAAGCAATTCTCCTGCCTCAGCCTCCTGAGTAGCTGGGATTACAGGTGCCCACCACTGCGCCCCGCTAGTTTTTATAGTTTTAGTAGAGACAGGGTTTCACCATGTTGGCCAGGCTGGTCTTGAACTCCTGACCTCATGATCTGTCCCCCTCGGCCTCCCAAAGTGCTGGGATTACAGACATTAGCCACCATGCCTGGCCGAAAAATCTGTATTTCAACTAGGCTCCTCAGGCTACCAGGTTTGGAAGCCAGACATCTCATTTGGCCCTTTACCTGGTATTGGTAAAGCGGGGTAGTTTGGTGGACCATCCATATTCAAATCCCAAATTCATCACTTACAAACTATGTGGACCATGGGCAAGTTACTTAATTCCTTTTGCTCTAGTTTCTCCATCTATAAGATGGGCATAATTCTATCTATATCATGAATTAATTGATTCATAAAACACAGTAAGTGCTAGCTATTATTATTAAACTACTTCCCATGGTGCCTGGCATATAAAAACCCTTAATAAATAGGTATTATCATCCTTATTTTATACATATAAGGTAATAAAACAATTTAGGAGTTTTAGTAGACTCAGCAATGCATTGTGGCCACCAAAGGATGTCATGCCGTATTAGGCAACATTAATGGAAGCATCGTATCTAAGACAAGGGAGTGATAGTCCTATTTCACTCCCTGCAATGTTCTGTGTTCAGTTTTGGATACCCTCCTCCTGGGATATAAGCTAATTAAAATGAGTTCACAAGGATGGGGAGGAGGCTCTAGGCCATAGCATGTACAAATGATATAAGGACCTGGGAATCTTTAACCCAGGGAAGAGAGCTGTCTCATGGAATACTGATGTTTTGTAAGGCATCAAAGAGTAAACCTATACATGGGGGTAGAACTCTGATATATATATGGACTTCAGATGAATCAGAGGTGTCAAAGATGACAGAAGCTGCTTTGCTTTAGGTGGTGAGTTTTCCGCCCCTGGATATGATCAAATAAAAGCTGGGTAGCCACTAGGTAGGACTTTGGTCATAGGAATTATCACACCAGTTTTCTCCTCATAGTTAAGTTTTCAGACACATTCTGAGAAGCACACCAACAAAAAAATTGGGCAGCAACAAAAGGAAAACAAGCAGAGCAGTTACTAAACATTAATCTGTTGGTTTTGGATTGCAGGAAGATGTGGCTGAAGCTGAAAGCACAGGTGAAATGACAGGCAAAGGGGGCAAAACTGTTGGTGAAGGTGAAACCGAAGAGAAAAGTGGGGGTGAAACTCAACCAGAGGGTGAAGGTGAAACCAAAGACAAAAGTGGAGGTGAAACTCAACCAGAGGGTGAAGGTGAAACTCAACCAGAGGGTGAAGGTGAAACCAAAGACAAAAGTGGAGGTGAAACTCAACCAGAGGGTGAAGGTGAAACCAAAGACAAAAGTGGAGGTGAAACTCAACCAGGGGGTGAAGGTGAAACCAAAGACAAAAGTGGAGGTGAAACTCAACCAGGGGGTGAAGGTGAAACTCAACCAGAGGGTGAAGGTGAAACCAAAGACAAAAGTGGAGGTGAAACTCAACCAGAGGGTGAAGGTGAAACTCAACCAGAGGGTGAAGGAGAAACTGAAACTCAAGGAAACGGAGCAGAACATGGAGATGAAAATGAAGCAGAAGGAAAAGGAGACAATGAAGGTGAAGGTGAGGGTGAAATCTGCACAGAAGACGGTGAAATGAAAGGTAATGAAGGCAAAACTGAAAGCCAAGAACTCAGTGGTGAAAATCGTGATGAAGCCAAAAATGATGAGAAAGATATAAAAGATGAAGGGGGAAGTGATGGAGGAGATAGGGAAGAGGAGGAAAAGGAGGAGGAAGAGGAGGAAGAAAAGGAGGAGAAGGAAGAGGAGGAGGAAGAGGAGGAGGAGGAGGAGCAGGAGGAGCAGGAGGAGGAGGAGGAGGAGGAGCAGGAGGAGCAGGAGGAGGAGGAGGAAAATGAAGAGCCGCTGTCCCTGGACTGGCCTGAAACCAGGCAGAAGCAGGCCATTTACCTCTTCCTCCTGCCCATCGTGTTCCCACTCTGGCTGACAGTCCCTGACGTCCGAAGGCCGGTAAGTGTGTCCATCCTTACCTCAGGCTTTTTTTCCCCAGGGAAGCTGTGGGGTCTTTAGGCACCCAGGGCTCACACTTAATGGGGAGGAAGAGGCCAGGGACAACCAGCTTGGCAGGGGTGCACCACTGAGATCTGGGAAGGTACTGAAGCCTTGCAGGGGGATCGTGTGCCCAGGCAACACACCAATGGCACTTGGGAGGCCCTAGACCTCAAATGTGTCTTATTTCCACAGCTATAAGGAGCGTACACTAGTCCCTCTTTGACTCCTATCTCAGTTTCTTGATTTTAATTTGGGAATGATGTCACTAAACCTCCTCCATATTTCATAGGAGTATTCTCAAAACCCGGGGAAATCACTGCTATTTCTACCCAATATTCTTATTTGCAAGGAAAGATCTGACCAGAAAAGAATGGTACAAGGAGGCTGCAAAAGCCAAACCGAATGCCTAGATTGGCCTGGTTCTAGGGCAAGGAGACAGCTCTCTTCCCTCTGGTGACTGCTGCACACCCTACTGTCTGGACTCCCCTACAGGTGTACCCCTCACCCCCATCCTTTTCCATCCATCTCAAGGTCCTCCCCGAGAGAGAGCCCTCAGGTCAAATGTCTCCAGTTCCTCTCCATCACTCTTCCATTAGACCTTGTCACTGATTCTTGGGCTTGCTCAGAGGGTCCAAAGACCTTTAGCCTCTACAACTTACTTCCCATCCTTTTCAAACTTTCAAACAGGAGTCAAGGAAGTTTTTTGTTCTCACCTTCCTGGGATCCATCGTGTGGATAGCCATGTTCTCATACCTCATGGTGTGGTGGGCTCACCAGGTGAGTGAACAGCAGGAACAAAATCCTCTACCAGCAGGTCCCAAGGACACTTTCCTTCAGGATGAATTTCCGGTACTCAGGGAGTCTCGAGGATCAGGTGAATCTGTGCAGTTTCTATGTTGTTTGTAAAGGCTTAAAGGTAGACTTTTTATTCCGGTGAACATAGTACTTCTCAATTTTGGCTTTTCTGACATACCCTGCAGCATGAAGGCCTTGGAATCCTGCCTGATTCCAGCTGACCATGGCTTATTAGTCATATTTCCTGCCTTCTCCGCCATGTACCTATCCCTCTCACCTGGTGAAACCCTGCACACTCTGAGAACCAGCTGTTTCGCATGCTCTCTGGCATTTCATTAGTCTTCCCCTGAGTGCCCATAGTGTTTCTGTTCTGCCTGGAATACTGCATTGTAATCTTTGTTTACTAGCTTTCCTCTCTAAAAGGCTGAGATTAGGGTCTACGTTACCTTGCTCATACTTCCACCTCCAGCCTCTTAGTTCCTGGGACACAGCAAGTGTCCACATTCCTGGAAATAGAAATGCTGACTTTAACAGATCTTTGGAAGGGCAGTTCTTGTGGGGAAGTAGAGGTGTTAGAGTTGGAATGACAGTGAGCAGCAGATCTGCTGCAGGTAACTTGTAGACCACTTGTGAAAAGAAGAGCAACATGGTCCCTTTGGTCAGGAGCAGGAGCCTTGCTTGTCTCTGTGGCTATCTCAGCTGTTAGTCCTCCTATCACCCTCCCTCACTCAGGCTGAGGGGGTGTGGCTGAGCTCTTTAGAAGGCATTCTGTTTGCATAAAGTAGGATGTGGATAGTGCTTTGATGTGCCTCAGGTTTTTCACCTACTGTTGCCATGGTTTCTCATTACTGTTTACCAGGTTGGTGAAACAATAGGGATTTCCGAAGAGATTATGGGCCTGACCATCCTTGCAGCAGGCACATCAATCCCTGACCTCATCACCAGTGTGATTGTGGCTCGAAAGGGCCTGGGAGACATGGCTGTGTCAAGCTCTGTGGGCAGTAACATATTTGATATCACTGTGGGGTGAGTGGCAACGTTACTTTCTAAAGCATGTTAAGTGTGACTGGAAAACACTGCATTGGTTCTGTTCACTGGTTTTCTGCTTTATTCATTATACATAGAATAAAAGGGCATTTATATTGCTGGTTTCTGCAAAGGAACAAAATATCTTCCCTTCATTCATCACAGACAGATGGGATAACAGAACTAAAATGCTGCCTGAAATGAAACTGACCAGAATTTACAGATAAATCGAAAAACAAAGTCCAATCCATTCTATTACCAAATACAGTCAAATGTTCTGTTCACTGACTTTCAAGGCGGTGGAGGTGGGATTGGAAGGAGCAATGACTCAGTTTCACCTCCTGGTCCTCTTTTGTATATGAACTCCTGCTCAGAGGCTCTAAACAGCATTTTGCATAACAAGCAAATACCTTATCCTCCTGTACCCATCCTCTTTCCCCATTCTCCCTACCTTGTCAGAAAGAGGGGCCATTTTCACTTCCCTAATCATGTCCTGACTTTGGGTGGCAGATTTGTTTCCTTAAATTTGAATTTGTGTATGTGTATTTGGGGTGAGGGGCAGGTAAAAAGGCAGCTGTCATCACTAAATAATTAAAAGAAATGTAGGCCTTATCAAAATTTAGAGATTTAAGAGTTCATATCACATTGGGGCCAGGTGTGGTAATGTGTGCTGGTAATCCCAGCATAAAAAAAAAAGGCGAACATCAACTGATCTGAGTCATACGGAAGTCATGAAGTATGCAGAAGATTTTTAAAAAGCTCAGACTCAGAACACTTCAGTTTTAATCTAAGCTCTTCTAGTTATCAGCTGCGAGTCCTTGGGCAAGTAATTTGATTTCCTTGAACCTTAGTTTCCTTATCTGTGAAATGGGGCTAATAATTTCTGCTCTACTTCATAGATTTTAATTTTTCTTGGTGGAAAAATACATATTTCGTAAACTGTAAAATACTATTTGTGTATGGAATTATTATAAACATTAAGAATATTCACATTGTTTCTTCAATCTTGCAGCTTGCCCGTTCCTTGGTTACTTTTCTCTCTTATCAATGGATTACAGCCAGTGCCAGTCAGCAGCAATGGCTTGTTTTGTGCAATTGTTTTGCTTTTTCTCATGCTCCTGTTTGTGATCTCTTCAATTGCGTCATGTAAATGGAGAATGAACAAGATCCTGGGCTTCACAATGTTCCTACTTTACTTTGTATTCCTGATCATCAGTGTGATGTTAGAAGATCGAATCATATCCTGTCCTGTATCTGTCTGAGTCAGTCACTCTTGCTCACAATGGGCATAGATCAGAAGACTATGCCGGAAGTTACTGTTATCTCTTGTGACATTAATGAAAGAACGTACATGATCCTGGAAAGTGAACTGAGTGACCAAGGACCTCTGATGTGAATGTGATCTGAGACTCAAGTTTGTCCTTGGAAACACCTGCAGCTCACTGTGGATTAAGAACCTCACCTCTGGAGGGGTGGAGTTTCTACCCGACTCATGCAGACATCTATTACGTGGAGGCAGCAGAAGGACCCCTGGAGCCAGAGGGTTTTCTGAATGATAACTGGGGTCAAAGGTTGGGGTAGGCACAGCAGCTGTAAGACAAGCGTCTGTGCTGACCATTCCCTGACCATTTCTGAAGGGCTGCTGGCCCAAAAGATGCAGATGTGAGACGTGGTCTACATCTCAGCCTTCCTGGCCTCTGCCTCAAGCACACATTGCAATTTTCTGTCTCCTCTCTTTCTGTTCAAAATGTGAGGTTCTATCAGGTTTGTAATCACCATAGGTTCAGTTATTGATGAGTTTAAGGATCCAAGGTTACAGGAAAAAAGAGGTATAACAGGAATCAATGATCATTCCACGTTTTGTAATCCACTGCATCTGGATCTATACCAGCATTTTCTACCTTAAAAGGAGGACTACTTTAACTCTTATTGTTGTGTTTCTGAAAAGTGAAATTAAACAAAGCAGCCTGAAAAATAAACATTTATAATTCAACCTTGAATTGGAAGGAGTGGAGATTAGGGAAGAAAACTACTCTAGAGGCTATTTAAAAGTATTATTTATTAGAACATCCAAGTTCATGTTGTCTCCATCAGCGGTCACCTTGAGGAATTAGACATTCTAACAAAGCTGTCCTGGCTCCACCCCTCCAGCATGTTCACACCCGACAATGACATTTGAGTGGAGAGGTAAGGGAGGTCATTCTAAAGAGTCCAAAATCATCAGAGCCACATCTGCTTTATAAAGTGAAAGATCCAGTGGGGCAATGCTATTTTTGTATGTCAACCTAGATAGGATTACAAAGCAAGACTGATTTCTTCTGTGGTTTATGAATGGATCTTAAGATAATTACAAAGGGGAAATTCCAAGAATGCATAACACAATGACAACGTGGTGAGAAAAAGTGTATTATTACTTCCAAGGAATCTAGTGTAAAGGACACTTGAATTTTTTAAAAATGTGGTTAAACATTTTATGTGGAATTTGATGAGTCTGTGTATTAAATACCACTGCTTGCTGCTTTTACTAGAATCAAGTTAAGGGACATATTAGAAATAAAACATTTTACTATCACTGGCTTCAGAGCAAAATGAGCTCAGGTGACTGCAGATTATGATGGCAAATATGGCTTTAATTACAAACATGAGGAATGAGTCACTGAAGATGAAAAGATAGGACAGATGTGATGTGAAAAAATCCAAACATTTAGGCATTGAGCAATGGCTGAGGGGTTCCAAGTATTCCGTCTTTTAAGATGGACTGGTTAATTAATTGCCTCGCTACTCCAGGATTCCCATTCTTTGGAAATAATTTTTATTAAATTTCAATAAACTGTGAATCCCAATGTATTTTATTTTACAACATGGATGGGCTCATCCTTATCTTTAGGTCACTTCTTCAGAATCCTCCCAAGAAGACTGAGAAGAGTATGGAATCATCTTCCAATTTCACATTCTTAAATTAATTATCCTTAATCCTGATGCTGCTACACTGCTGGGTTTCCAAAGCCATGGCCTAAGAACAGGAGGAAAGAGAAATACCTTTGGGAGGGAGGTCCCAACCTCAAAATTCTGGGTGCTAACAGGTGTCTGCAACCAGTTCCAGTTAGCTTCGGGGATGCCAACCTCCTCACCCACAGCCTAGGATCTGACACTTTTCCTCAGACTGAGAAAGGAGTGATGAACCGCAAAACGCTGTGTAATGATAAAGTGCTGGAATATCCATGTAATGATTAAAACCAACTCTAATAATCTCACATCCTTTTCCCAGTTTGCTGAATTTCTGGCATACTCCTTTGCCTAGAAAGGAAGTTCTGATCACTTCACACTGTTACAGAAAAGGACAAGTACGAAAGCTGATGGATGAGTAGGAATTCACTGGGGGAGAGAAAGAGATTACTTCAGGGAGATAGAAAACTTGTGTAACTTTGAAAAGACTAACTGGTTTTACCTGGAAATTAAATTTTTTGTTCACACATTTACAAACCTACTATAATATTAAAATCATGCATTTTAGAGGTAAAGTACCATTTAAAAATGTCAAGATAGCCGGGCGTGGTGGCTCAAGCCTGTAATCCCAGCACTTTGGGAGGCTGAGGCGGGTGGATCACGAGGTCAAGAGATCGAGACCATCCTGGTCAACATGGTGAAACCCCGTCTCTACTAAAAATACAAAACATTAGCTGGGCATGGTGGCGTGTGCCTGTAATCCCAGCTACTCGGGAGGCTGAGGCAGGAGAATTGCCTGAACCCGGGAGGCGGAGGTTGCGGTGAGCCGAGATCGCGCCATTGCACTCCAGTCTGGGTAGCAAGAGCGAAACTCCGTCTCAAAAATAACAATATCAAGATAATATTGAGATGATCCTCTCACTTTATAGGCAGAGTATTCTGTATATAGTTACTTGTGACAAATTCTAGGTCATTCATTCAGCCTGGAAAGTCTGAGCTGTCCCACATGGGTCACTGAATTGGAAGTCAGTGGTTACGTGGATGCCTTCTTCAGTCCCCTTATGCTGCACTTCCTTGATGGCCCTGGTAGTAGGTTTGAGCCAGATTTCTAAATTCTTCCCAATTTAACGGGTAGAGATTCTACATAGTACCAGAAAAAGGAGATGTATTCCAAGTTTTTGAAACTTACATTATTTAAATGGTTTACTTTTTTTTTTTTAAAGATACGGGGCCTTGCCCTGTCACCCAGGCTGGAGTACAGGGGCATGAACATGGCTCATTGTAGCCTCACCTTTCAGGCTCAAGGGATCCTCCCGCCTCAGCCCCCCCCAGTAGCTGGGACGACAGAGGTGTGCCACCACACCCAGCTAATTTTTGTATTTTTTTGTAGAGATGGGGTTTTGGCATGTTGCCCAGGCTGGTCTCGAACTCCTGAGCTCAAGCAATCCACCTGCCTTGACCTGCCAAAGTGCTGAGATTAAAGGCATGAGCCACTGTACCCAACCAAAATGGTTACTATATATTTTGAACATTATATTGCACTGTCATCAATAGATCTGAAAATGGTTTTACCAAATTACAGGCATGGTCTTTTATAGCTGTCTATATCAATATTATTTATTTAAAGATTGAATACCAAAGAGGGGCAGGAATTGGAATGTAATACCAGCCTGGTAAAGTATTGGTTGTCCTTATGTGCCAATGAATACTCTTGGTTCTGACCCTTTTTTGGTGGGAGGGTCCCCCAGCAGGTGCAGCTGTGTGTAGGGGACTGGATGCTATGAAAGGTGTAATGAGAGGGCACCTGAGCAGAGCTGCCTATCATTGGGGGTTCACTAAAGCCTACAGGACATCCTGGCCCAAGTCTGCCTGCACAGCGAAAGGCACACTTCTGGTCTTCAGGCCCTTCTGTGTATGAGGAAGCAAAACCTGGAGAATTTCATTTGCAGAAAACCTACCAGTTGCGGCAATAGTTTTATCACAGTACTACATTTGAAAAGAAAATCTCTAAATACAAAAGGAGAGAGCCATCCAAATGAACAGGAACTGTGGAAAGGCAACAGTAACTTTATCAGAAGAGGCTATTACCATCTGAGTACAAGCACATGCACAGACTTCTGTAATCAAAGATTAAAATTCTTAAAGGTGTATACTGCTAATTTTGTAAACAAAAATAATTAGGCTACCAAATATGTTTACTTTGAGGCCAATGGAGCAAGGTAGTATGCGGAAAAGATACCAAGTACTAAAGATATTAAGGTAAACAGTTATGCAGCTGCTAGAGAGTTCAGTTTTGAAGTAAAGCTTAGTCTTGTATCCAGACAGGAAGAGGCAGTGCATGCTAACATTATCACAAAGGACAAGGGTTCTCTCAGACAGTCTGCTCTTTCTCTTCCTGTTCTGAGATAAAGTGCCGAATAGCAGCTTTCAAGTTCTAGTGAGAGAAATTAAAATAAAGCTGGGCTACTGCACATTACCAAACAAATAGGTATTTGCATACCACATGCTTACAAAGTACAGGCTAAGTATCCCTTCTCAGAAATATTTGGGACCAGAAGTGTTTTGGATTTCAGATTTTTTTGAAATTTGGAATATTTGAAGAATACAAACTGGTTGAACATCCCAAATATGAAATCCAGAAGGCTCAAAGGAGCATTTCCTTTCAGCATCATGTCAGTATTCAGTAAGTTTTGGATTTTGGAACATTTGGATTCCAGGAGCTCAGCCTGTATTTAGAAATAAAGCATAACTTCTATATAGAGCTGGCTAATACTTGCTGGTTACACTTAAATATCATAGTAATTATCAGCATCAAGTAAAAACAAGTGTTTACTGCCTAAAATGTTGAACCAATGTTTTCTGGGACCATTTCTCTAAATACACAAATGGGGCGATATACTTGAAAACCTTACAATTAAATATGCTAGTGGTGTTAGGGTTTTAGAGCAAAACAAAAATCAAAACCCCAAGAAAGTCAGGGAAAAGAAGACAAAAATCAGAAGATGAATGGCTGCATATTTGTCCACCTAACAGTAGGAGGAAAAAGTAGAGTATCTGAAATATGATATGGAGTACAAATGTGTGCCATTCAGGACATAATGGTAGGACATAGTAAACAAGCTGTCATCAGCACAGGACATGGTTTATTGTCAACAATTTGAACATATAAACAAAACTAAGAGTAAGAAAATAAGATAATGTAGCAAAAGGGTATTTCTCTCCAACATGATTGGCCATTATTCTCCAAAATGTACGGTTAACGGAGGGAAAACTGAAGAAGAGTTTATGTAGAGTTATTTTAAAGGATGATTTATATTTTCTGTTTTTTGAGACAGGGTCTTCCTCTGTAATCCAGACTCGCGTGCAGTAGCGTGATCACAACTCACTGCAGCCTTAGACCCCAAGGCTCAAAGAGATCCTCCTGCTTCAGCTTCCCAGCGTAGCTGGGATTACCAAGCATGAGCTGCCATGCCAAGCTAATTTAAAAAAATTTTTTTGTGAAGACAGGGTCTCTGTGTTGCTCAGGCTGGTCTCGAGCTCCTGGACTCAAGGAGTCCTCCCTGCCTCGGACTCCCAAAGTGCTGGGATTACAGGCCTCCACGAGCTACCATGCTCAGCCCAAGAATGATTCATATTTTAATTTTCTTTTGAACAGGTTTACCACCTTGTATTCATGTTTTAGGTTTTATTTTAAAAGATGAAATCTCTACAGTAATATTCCTTGGGGATTAAAAGTAGGAGAAATATAACCTTCTCCAAAAGCAAACACAAAACTTGGGGTGGAAGGAGGACGTAAAAATTACATTCGCTTTTCCAAATGAGTCTGAATCATAAAGCCATAAAGAATGGTTTTATCTCATTCTTTTTTGTCAGCCATTTGAAATCAATAAACTTTGATTCCTACATTTTGTTTGTATTACACAAAAAGTAAACAACAGTGAAAGCTGTTTTTAAAAGAATAAAAACAACCAACCACAAATAGAAGAGAACCCCAGAATCCTGTTTGGACGGATGTTTATCACCAGGCCAAAGGCCTCCCCTTCAAATGTTTCTCTCAGTTGATAACTTTCAAATGATTTAAAGAACATGAAGAACAAGTAGAACGTGAAGCTTGGATCTGAATAGTAAAGAATAAGATTGGAGTGGTATTTACAAAGGAGAGGCATATATATGTGCCTAGCACCAGATTTTTCAAGTAAGCAAGTTCAGCCCCAAACTCACTGAACTGAAGTTTGACATTTTTAAACTCTCTCCATTATTTTCCAGAGTTGAAAGCTGTGAAGTGTTTCAGCTTGGTGCTATTCACTAGCGGTGTGAACTCAAAAGGTGGGTTTTCTGCAGCTGAACTGATTCTAGGTCTCAGGACTCCAAGGTATCTCCAGTCCACGTGCTGTGGACTCTACTGGCTTTACACATCTAATTTGGGAGTGTCCATTTTTTCCTTCTTAAAATTAGCTAGAGGTTTCATTTACTAATGATAATGTGTGCAAACACACACACATATTAAAAATCTATAAATAGTTCTAGCAGCCAAAAGATGTTTTTCTTTACCAGAAATTACCCAAAGTGACATCAGAAATAATGTGACTAAAAAAATATTTTTAAAGCCTATTTAATACTCATGATATTTAAACTTTTAATTTATTGTTTGATTTCTGGATATTTCTACATTTAGATTCTACAAACTTCAGATTCTGAAGCTTGTTGAAAAAGCTAAGTTCCTCAATATGGATGAAAGTCTATCTGGTTATACTTTTAGAGGGGAAGTTTTCTACTTCTGGATATTTATATATAGTATTAACAGAATACCCCAGCAAGTCACATTTCAGATAAATATTCTACATTATAATTTGCATCATACCCAATATTTTGGATTTTAAAATAAGGGTAAAATTTGGAATACAATCATTTGTCTGCATATTTCCCAATGTGAGTTTTCACATAGAATATTAAAATTTAAGTTGATATTTGGATGTATAAGCTATTTTCCCTGTATACTATATGTATCTATTAGCAATAGAGACAATTTTGGAGTCACAGTATAGTGAACCTCTCTGGCTCTCCTTGCACAAGGCTCCATGAGTCAGTCTGGGCAGTGCACGCTACCCTTGTCATGACTCACTCCCCGCACTCAGGCTTAGGGGAACTAACATGCAATCCTAGGACAACACTGACACTAGCACTGACATTTTAAAATTCATTCTCCCAAGTAATAAAAAAAATATATATAGAGAGATATACACACAGAGAGATCTGCAGCTGTACTGATTACTTCAAATAGCAGCAGACAAGGAAAATACACGCTTGC